TATATATATATTCCTGTCTTATACAGTTGTTTTTACTATTCTCTAACATTGGCTTTCCTACTCTGACCCATCCATCCCCACGCTGTCCCATAATTTACGTTATTATTCCTTTAATCTGACTGTCAGAAACTTTCTCATCCTGCCCCACTTTTCTCCACTTTTCTCTACCTGTCCCCACGGTGCCCAACCCCTTTTCCTTCCCTTCTCTACGCTGTTTCACCATTTTTCTCTTGTCCAATATTTTTTCCATCTCTACTTAACCTTTGATACATTACACTTATTAGTAACAAATTTTTTGGAACACGTTATAAATTTTTTTTCATTTTAAAATGACTTGAAAATTTAGACAATGTCACCTGACCATAAAACAGTGTATGAATCAATAAGATTTTAAATAATACATGTATGTTAAGATTTCAAAACAGCTTAATGCATTTATTAAATTGATTACTTGTTTAATTTTGTGTAAGTTTAAATGTCTTTGTAGGGCTGCTTTTCTTAAAAATCCTCTTCCACATTCTTGTCAAATGTTTTTGTTAATGACTGTTTCTCGTGTTAAGAGGTGCCTTTTTAAGTAATAAACTCTTTTGTAACTTTTGTTACAGGTGTCACATAAATAGATTTTTATAAGTTTGGACTCGTTTAAGTGCTCCGTAAGATTCTTTCTATGTACAATTATTTTTTTGCAATGTTGACATGTATAACTTTTTTTTGTACGAATTTTCATGTGCTTGGCTTCCGAAGAGTAATCTTTAAATATTACAATGCATTACATTTAAAATCTTGATTTCTAAAAATAAAATAGTTTTTAATATTTAAAGGCTATAATGTGCTTTATAATACATATTTTTATGTCAATAACACTTTTTTAAATTCATTGATGTTTGATACGAAGGTATGATGACGACGTCGAAATTTATAACGAATATATTGTTAGACTAAAAAAGTTTTCGTGCCAGACAGTATTTTTTATATTCAATTCGTCTTCAGAATCATTTTAAAAGAAAATATTCTTTAGATTTGTGCATCGAGATAAAGCTACGAATAATTGCCCATGGAAACGTAAAGGTTTTTTAAAATATAATTCTGCAGTATCGAAGCTTTGGCCTTGTGATTTATTTCTTATCGTAGAAAAAGCCAAAATAAATGGAAATTATTTTTTAAGTCAAACAAACGGTAAACGAGAATGATCCCTAAAATTTAAGGTGATCATAGGTATAAATACTATTTGTTCTTTGTTTTCAGCTGTAATGATTTCAGCTTCAATATAACACTTTAATAATTTTTTCATACATAAATAAGTTTCAATACATAATCTGTCTGTTATACTTAAATTTTTTATCAACGTCACTACTAAATTTATTTTTAATTTTAGCTCATGAGATGGTCAGCCCTTGTGAACTGCATTTAATACTTCTACTTAACAATTAAAGTTTATGTGTTTGTCTGATTCATCTGTTCCTTTTTCTGTTGCATAATCAATACTGTATTATGACGTAGCAGTTACTTCTATACTGTTTAGTATTTCATTGTTTAATCGTTGAATGTATTCGTTATGTGATGTTAAAATTGCTGAGTTTATGGAAAAGACAGTTTGTTTATAAAAAATTTAACTGCAAATGTCTTTCGTTTTCCGTTCAAATGGTATTGTAACGAATTAATTTTACCTTTTCCTATATCTAATAAAAACGGATAAAATTTTTCATCCAGTGATCTTTGATTTTTTTTTTTATTGAAAAATAGAAAAATG